TTTTATATCTAAAACAACATATGTGTTTGCTTTATCCATATGTGTGTGTGTGTGTGTGTGTGTGTGTGTGTGATCAGCCATTAAAAAAGTAGGAAATTCTGCTACTTGCAATAATATGGGTGGATAGACCTTAAGGATATTACACTAAGTAAAATAAGTCAGAGAACTACAAATTCTGTATGCTCTCACTTACATGTGGAATATTCAAAAAGAATTGAATTTATAGATACAGAGAACAGATTGGTAGTTGCCAGAGGAAAGGCATGGATGGGGGTGAAGGGAGTAGGCAAATTGGGTGAAGGTAGTCAAAAGGTACAAACTTCCAGTTCTAAGATAAAAAAGTCCTGAGGATGGGATGTACAGCATGGTGACAATAGTTAACAATACTGTACCGTACATGTAAAAGTTGCTAAGAGAGTAAATCATAAAAGTGAACAAGAAAAAATTGCAACTATGTGGTGATAGATGTTCACTAAACTTACTGTGGTGATCATTTTACAACATATACACATGTCAAATCACTATGTGTATACCTGAAACTAATACAATGTCATATATCAATTATATCTCAATAAAATTAAAAGTAAAATAAAAAGATAATCAGATAATATAATAAGGTATGATAAATCTATTTTTGGTCTTTGTCCCTGGTTCTTGGCACAGAGCTCCTAAAACCTTTGGATATTCTGAATGACAGAAGCATCTTTTATTATTCGGGACAAGCCCCTTCCAGTTATGTTTATATCATTAAGGTGACTCTTGATAGTCTCCCTTGGTAGCTTCAGGAGTGGAACTTCTTGCCAGAGGAATCAACCATGTGACTACAGAGATGGAATTTTCAGCTCTACCCATCTAACCCCCATCTTGGGAAAAGTGTGAGGGGTTAGAGATTTTGTTCAATCACCAACAGCCAGTGATTTAACCAATCATTCCTGTGTAGTGGAACCTCCATAAAAACTCCTACTAGACAGGGAGATTCTTGGTTGGTTAATACATCCAAGTGCTGGGAACGTGGCATACCCAGGGAAGGCATAGAAGCTCATGCTCCTCCTCACACTATACTTTGCCTTATGCATCTCTTCCATTTGGCTGTTTCTGAGTTGTAGCCTCTATAATACACTGGTAATAGTAAGCAAAGTGTTTTCCTGAGTATGTGAGTCCTTGTAGTGAATTACCAAACCTGAGGTGGGGGAAGGGTCATGTTAACCCCCAAATTTTTGGTTGCGCAAAAGCGTGAGTAGCCTGACCATCCCATTGCAGCTGGCAAATGAAATGAAGGCAGTCTTGCAGGAGTAAGCTCTTAACCTGTAGGGTCTGATGCTAACTCAAGGGAATTAGTATCAGAGTTTAAGTGAATTAGACACCCAGTTGGTGTCAAACAATCAAAGAATCGGTTGGTGTGAGGGAAAAAACTCAGAATAATGAACAACTTCCTGCTAACAAACTTGAAAAGAGACATTTTCCTAGGAAAGATGTTTGGAAGTCATTCCAAACATGACTGAAGAAGAAAAAACCTGAATGGTCCTATAACCATTAAAGAAATTCAATCAGTAGTTAAAATTTTTCCCATAAAGAAAATACTAGGCCCAGATAGTCTTAAAAGTCTGTGGCTTATGTTTAAGGCACCTGGGTGGCTCAGTCATTAAGCATCTGATTCCGGCACAGAATCAGATTTTTTTTTTATTTTTAAAATTAAAAAAAATTAATTCTGGGTGTATCTGGGTAGCTCAGTCAGTTGAACATCTGACTCTTAATTTCGGCTCAGGTCATGATGTCGAGGTTCATGAGATTAAGCCCCATATCTGCCTCTGCACTGACAGCGTGGAACCTGTTTGGGATTCACTCTCCTTCTCTCTGCCCCTCCCCTGCTAGAGTGCATGCTCTCTCTCTCTCTCTCTCTCTGTCTCTTTCTCTCTCTCTCTCCCCCCCAAATATAAATAAATAAACACTTTAAAAAGTTAATCCTGACATTATATTAAATTTTTTGGAGAAGAGGAAAATTTCTCCAAGTAAATTTATAAAGCCATTACAGGCATATTCCACAGAACATTTCCCTGATGGATGTTTTCCCAGTAAATTCCCTCCTGTATTTAATTCTCCAATGCCGTACAACGTATATATCTCTCAAACTAACATGTCAACTGATATTTATGTAGGAAATACTTTATTTAGCACCCAAAACTCAATACATTTTTACCGCCACCACCAACAACCACAAAGGTATAGGAAATGCCTTGAGTTACATTACAAACGTTGGTAAGATGTCCACACCATGTCAGCAAATCAAAAGCATACTGAATATCAAAGAAGGGGATCACAAATGCTACTGGTGACAAAAGAAGCATTAAAATATCATCCTCATTGTGAATCATTCTCTGTCACATTCCCAGTGTCTTTTGTATTTCATATTGCCCTTTTCCCCATGGTTTTATAGAATAAGAACCAAAAATGTTGACAAAGCGTTAAAGAACTTAATGGAGAAGGAAGAAAAAAAAGCAGAAAAGTAGTAACAATGAAAGAGAGGCTGTTACTGCTGACAAAGCAACTATTTATTAACAACTATATTGTTTAGTGATTCAGGAAGCAAAGTTATGAATATTTACATCCTAATGCTATACTTTGCTATTTAATGGAGGTTTGCTTACCATGTTTTAGTTATATTTTAGGAAATTGATTTGGGTTAACAAGCCACCCACTATAATTTTACCATTTAAAATAAAAATAGGGGCACTAGGTGGCTCAGTCAGTTGAGCATGTGACTCGTGATTTCAGCTCAGGTCCTCATTTCAAGGTTTGTGAGTTCAAGCCCCACATCAGGCTCCATGCTGAGTGTGGAGCCTGCTTGGGATTCTCTCTCTCCCTCTTTCTCTAGCCCTCCCCCACTTGTGCACATGCTCATGTACTCTTTTTCTCTCTCAAAATAAACTTTAAAAAAAAATAATGAGAAAGAGATAAAGCTTTTGCAGATGATGTGATTTTTTAGAAGAAAACCCAAAGAAATATGCAAATGACTTTAAATTATAAAAAGTATTCAAATTATTTAATATCTGTTGGATATTAATTTGGATCTATAGCACCCACCATAAACAAACATCAACCTCATATGGTTAGAATGAAATGTGCATCGTTCATCTGCAAAACTGTACTTATGCTCCTGATGAAAAAATTGGGAGTGGGACAAGGAGGGGGATAAGAAAAACAGCTCACTTCTCACTCTCTGCCTCTTACAGGGAGTTTGTTTGGTTGGTTTGTTTTGCTGCTGTAACAAATTAACACAAATTTAGCAGCTTAAAACAACACAAATTTATTATCACACCTCTGTCGACAGAAATCTGGCATGAGCCTCACTGGCTAAAATCAAGGAATCAGCAGGGTCGTGCTCTTTTCTGGAGACTCCAGGAAGGAACCTGTTTCTATGCTCATTCAGGTTGTTGACAGAAGTCAGTTTCCTGCAGTTGTCGAAATGAAGTCCCTGGTCCTTGCTGTCACCTGAGGGCCATTACCAGCTTCTAGAGCTGAAACTGTATTCTTTGACTTCAAAGATCTTCCTCCAGTTTCAAAGCTAGCAATGGAAGGTTGAGTCCCTCTCCTGCCTTCTCTTCAGCCACATCTCTAATTCCTCTGCCTTCTTCTTTGATTTTTATCTCATCTCGTGGTCCCTAACATTAATCACATATTCACAGGTTCAGGAGAGGAGGATGTGGAACATTTGGTGGACCATGATTCTGCCTACCCCACAAGGAAACCCAGCTTCTTCCATGTTTGCACTACTGCTACCTGTAGCTTGTACATCCTTATAATAATGCCTCAGCCCCAGCAGGCAAGGGTGGTGGGAAAACTAGGTAGAAAACATCCTCTATATTTTTCTTATGTCCTTGCTGCTGGCCTTGGCTTAATTATTGGATTTTCTTTATCAGGCTGTGTGAGGTTGAAGCAGACAGGAAGATGAAGAATTTAGAATTGATTTCCTGACAACACTAATCCAGTAACTGGAACAAATGCCTCCCCTCTTTCTACTCTTGAAACCATCCAGAGTTTGGGAAAGAGATATAAAGGGGACAACAGGAAAGAGGAAGGCAGGAGCAAAAATGTCAAGCCATTAAAAGACAAACATAAGCATATTTGTCCTTTCCTTAAGAACTCAACCCGAGAAGATTCCATACCTGGGGTGGTGATAAATGAGAGGAAGAGCTAAGCTCCTAAGAGTCATTTGTTGGGTGTTACGATGTATTACGCAGTGCTAGATGATTCCACAAGCCTTTCTTAATTCTTTAAACTAACATGTGGTTCAAGGGTATAGTTATTATCCTGTAAATGAGGAACCTTGGGGCTCAGAGAGGTGGTCATTTACTTGAGAGAACAAATGTCAGAGCTGGATGTAAACCTAGGTCCGGGGGCTGCTCCAGCTCAAGGGAAGTTCCTCTCTCCCTGACTTCCCCTAGCAAGAAGGCAAGCTTGAGATTTGTTATGAACACGACACTGTTCCCTTCAACGTCTTGAAATTATAGAGGTATCCTCCTTCCCCAACCTTTCCCTCCCCCAGATGTTAGTGACTTCCTAATGAAGGTCTCAGTTATTTCCTTTCTTGTGATGTGATTACACATTACTCCTTCTGTATGTCCCCATTGTCTGAGTTGATGTTACCATTCAGGCTAGTACTTATGTAATGACCACTGGGCTGTGAGCTTGAATTTTCTTTTTCTTTTCTCCTTTTCTCTCCCTCTCTCTTTTTCAGAAGATTCAAAGAAACAAGGAAAGATGCTGGCATGTGGTCTCTGGATAAGTCTCCGCTAGGACTTATAGGAGCAAGGAAACCCCGTTGCTATCACACAGCAGGTTTTACTGCAGTCTCTATCCCTTCAATGAGTATGGTTATCAAGCAAAAAGCCAATTAGCAACCTCTGCTTTACTTCTGTGGTAATAATTAATCAACTCTAGAATTTCAGCCTAAAATCCCAACTCCTACCGCAAGTACAAAGCCTTATATGATTTGCTCCTACCTGTCTCTTCCGCTGCGTCTTATGCCACTCTGTACTCCTCAGGCACCTGCAGCCACACTGGCCAAGGCCTGCTTCTCAGCACTGGAAATGTGACTAGTCTCAACTGAAATGCGCTGGAAGTATAAAATATACACCAGACTTTTAAGCAAAATATATCACTAATATATATCACTAATCACTAATGATTTTATACTGATTACATGTTGGGTTACAATGGAAACTAATTTAATTTGTTCCTTTTTATTTTTTTATTTTTTGTGGCAATTTGAACATTTAAAATGAATTCGTGGTCCGCACTGTATTTCTATGGGACAGTGCTGCTCTACCACATTACCTTCTTTTGTTTCCCTACTTGACACACTGTCTGGACCTACAGTGTCCATGTTATCTGTTTAGTACCTTTCTCGCCCAACCAGGACGTAAGGCAGGAATACTGTCCTCATTCACACCTGATTCCCAGGCATTTAGGGCAGAGCCTGAAGCTTCCTAAGTACGCTACAAATAGTCTTTGAAGGAAACGCCTTACTCTTCCTCAGCTGGCGACTAAAGAACTCGAGGTCTCAAGTCCTCTGAGTTACACCCGTGGCTCAGAGCGGACCACATGCTCCCGACCCTGGGAAAGAGAGAGGTGGATGCACAACCAGACGGGGAAAAAAGCCTTCCGGAAGGTAGCACCGGTCGCACTACGCACAAACGAGGCGGCGACCCCAAGCCCCTTTGCCCTCTTTCCTCCTGGAGCCCCGCCCCACGGCCAATCATTGGGCACTTAGCCCTCGCGCCACATTGCGGCGTCTCGCGAGGGCGCAGCGGCCAGTGGTACAGCCCGTTCCCCCCGCGCTCCCCGGACAGTGGGTCCTTCCAGTCGTAGAAAAGCATTGTGGGAGGAGACCCCGGCCTTTTCTGCTTTTGCGCTCCGGGGTAGGGGAGGTGTTTCGCGCTTTCTGGGATGGCGGGGTTGGGGGACGCGGGGTATCTCGGTTTCCGAAGGGCCCAGGCGCTGAGCAGGGACGCGCGGCCACCCTGAGGGCGATGGGATATGGTTCGCCGCTGTGCCGGGCCCGAGGATCCCGTGCCGTGAGTCCGTGGAGGGAAGCGGCCCGGCCTGGTCTCCGCCACGTTGTCCGTGGACCTCAGAAGACCCCAACGCGGCCCCCAGGCTGCGTTCCCACTCCAGGAAGTGGAAGATGGACTTGAGTGCATTTGAGTTTATTGGACACGTACTGTGTGTCAGGGAATTTTTAATAGAAACAGATTTCTCGTGAAAGAGAAAGGCCTCACCCTGTAACTGCATGTATGCCTACCGTATCCCATTTGAGATAAGTCTACATAGGAGTAAAGTGCCGTTTAAGGTTTAGATCTCGATATTTGTTTCAAGATAGAGAACTTGGCGAGTGAGCGGCAGCAGCTTCGCAGGTGAGTTTGCATTTAGTGCAAGGAGGAACCAGTTGCATCCCAGCTTTTGAAGGTTTTAACCACTTAAAACACTTTCTACTGCAGTTCTTGTTAACCTAGTCGGGTTTGAATTGTACAAGAAAATCTACAGCTGGTATTAATCACGTTTGAGCTCATCCACAGAACAGTACAGTATGGGGTCAGCAACTTTGTGCCATAGATAGAGCAGTCCTTGGGTAGGTTTCTTGTAGCCTTTGTGTTGCCCGTTCACTTTTGGAAACTAGTGAATGTGGTGTCAAAAAAGGCGTAAACTAAACACTTTGCAGCCTTTTCCTGCCCTTGAATTTGGTATCTTTGGCGTAGGAGCTGCACAAGTAACAGTTTATGCTTTTACATTAGTTGACACGTGTGATCTTGAGTCTTAAGCGTATAGTTTCTCTTAAGCAGTTTTTAACTACATTTTGTTCAGGTGAAAGACGGATGCTTGAAGCATATCCTGCTGCTAGCTGAATTCTGTCCTGGAGCACCAAGGGTGACCTAAGGTAGGATGATGGTGTTGTAGTGCTGTCTTAAAACAGTTATTTGTAATGCAAACTTCTAGGTTGGGGTGCTTTAATGGGTATTAAATTAGTACTGCAACGTGTAGTTAAGAAGGTGAAGTTAACGGCAAATAGGAAAGCCTGTTCCCAGCTTAGTTTCGGAATTTTAAAATACGTGTTTCTTTGTGTAGTAACTAAATTTCCAACACTTGCCAAATCTCAGGTTTTACGTGGACGTTTAAAGCTGAGTCCAAAATGCAATTCAGAAGGATATACTGAGTTTTATTATGAAGCTTTTAATGTTTGATGCACGTGAATATATGTCAAATTCAGTGTTTTATTTTGTCTTTTAGGATGTCCTTGATGAATTCAAAACCATCACAGGAAATCTTGACAAGAGTTGCTTGGATCATTTAAAATTCCCAGGAGTCTGAGGGGGTACTAAAACAACTGTTTTGGAACTGTCCATAAATCTACCTTTAAAATAGTGGGGCTATGAATAAATATTTCCTTGTGCTTCTTGGAGGTTTGTGTATTAAGTAATTAACTGCCAGCAAATAGCATTCTTTTGAAAGATCAAAGGGAAAGGGAGGGTTTCTATCCTCCCCGCCCCTGAAACTTGAGAATGGTTTAATCTCAGCTAAGATTAATATTCAGAGCTACCAGTTAGGGAGAACTAAGTGCTTGCTTTCAGTGCCTCGGCCTGGTGAACTAGAGTAGTTGGTTTTTAGGTCACAGGTGTGTTTTACGTTGTCACTGCATTTTTTTTTTTTTTTTTTTACCCTCCACCTCAACTTTGTAGGAAAGAACAAATAGTCTTTGGGCACTGAAACATTTATTGAGTTTTTCAGTAACGTACTAGGAGGTGGGAACACAAGGGTGAGCAAAACACAGTCCCTCCCTTTGGAAGCTTAGAGTTGAATGGCAGAAATATCATCACAGATACGAAACTGCCTTTGTGAGACAAGTCTCATTCATGAGTTGACCAAGGAAACCTGAGAAAGCGGTTGAGATTAAGGGCAAAGAGTTGAGTGCTTAATGAGGCTTGAAGGTGGCTATTAAGGGAGCCCATGGGTGTTACAAAATGAGCCTGAGCAGGTAAAACAACAGACCACATAGGGCTCTGTTTAAAGCAAGGGGAAATTTTATAGTTGTCATGTGTAAAAAAGGAGATGCAGGTGGGCCAACTGTTGAAACAAGAGAGGACCACCTTGGACCAGGGTGGTAGTAAAATTTGGAGATCATTAAGCTATAGAGAGCAGAGCTAACAGGACTTGGTAATAGGGGAGGTGTCTAATGATTGCTATGTGTGTAGTTTTGCACATTCACATGGTAGTGGTCCTGAATCCAGGGAGCAGCATTTTAAACTGTTGAACTGGGATTGCCTTTGAAAAATGTAAGTGGCCTGGCAGAAAGACTAAGCTATGGAAATAAACCTTAAGGCTATGGGCATAAATAAGATCCACCTGGGGTAGAGGAAGAGGCCTAAGCTCTGGGAAACTAATTGATGAGGTAGAATAGCATCTTACTGAAGAGCAGTAAAAGATGGTCAGAACAGTGCAAACAATGAAATACTGCACTAGAAATATGGCAGGGCAGCCTAAAGTTACCTTTGGGATTTGGTGACAGGTGATTTTAGCGTAAGGTGTGTAGTGGAGGAGGATCTTAACAGTTTACAGTCGGGATTAGAAGAATTGACACCAGCTGCAGATAATCCTTTTGAGAAACTTGGAATGGGAGAGGAAAATAGTAGCTGGAGAGGGATTTGTGGTTGAAAAAGTTGGTTGGCTTTTATTTTCCTTTTTTTAGATGGGAGAGCTAATAGTTTAAAACCAAATGGCAAGGATCTAGCTGACAGGAAGTGGACAGGGACAGGAAGGCTGAAGGAGAGTGGGTTCCAAAACACAGGTGCAGGGACAGGAGGAAAGGAAGGATTAGTGTTGATGACAGCTGGAAAGTTTGTGGGTAGGGAGATCATGTCCTGCAGGAGTATCTGTTTTCTCTGGAAAGTGGAGTGGCAAAGTCATCCTCAGATGAACTCATCTTTGGGGGTGGGAGTTAGATAGCCAGGCAGGATGGAGAGACCATTTGAGGTTGGGTTTCATGAATTTATAAACGGAGGTCAACTGAAATCTACACATAGCATTTTCTTTTTTTTTTGAAAACACAAGGACACTAGAAATTCAAAGCAACACTTAAAAAGCTTTTTACATTTGTAAATAACCAGTGGAACTTAATGCCACAAAATACAGTATTACAAAGAACATTTATATGAATAAAAACTTCAGTCTGAAAGTGAGATCTCAGTCTTCATACATCTGTGCACAGGCTGAGATCCACCTAGAGTTGGGAAGAACCTTTTTGTCCACTTCGTGTACCTAGTTAGGCAGCTGCACACTAGGATTCCAGACCTTTGATCAGAACCACCTGATCTTGGTTGTGGACACAAGATAACTGGAGTTTTCCAGGAAGGAAAATAGGGCGTCAAGGCATGAGTTTTCTCAACCCTTTGAGTTGCCAAATAAAAAGGCCCTTCAGCACAAATACACTGGTAAACATTTAGAAGATGCAACAGACTCCCATTTTTTTTCTGAAGAAACACTTTTTGCAGGTCCAAGATATTTGAATAATTCACAGTTTGAAAGTAAAGGTGGCACACACACACACCCTTCCCACCCCTATTCTCCGGCCCTTCACTGGATCAAGTCCATCTTGAGGCGTGAAGCTTGGACAGTTTTCACTGTTTTTGCTATGTGTTTTCCAGTCAGATTGCTTGTAGATGTCTGAGATTTTTCTTCAATCAGGCTATCTTTAGATCCATTTCTTCTCTAGAAGAAAATATATTCAAAAGATAAAGTAAGATTCAGAGAAGAAAATGGCCAAATCAACTTTATTAATACATCAGAAATTAAGGTTCATAGTATCAAAAGCTGTTCAACAAACACCCAGGTTATGACATGAAGATTGTAAAGTCTGATTGTAACATGCATAATACACTAAATGCATGAAAATTAGTCCTAAATCACTCAGCTAAATATTTCTAGTCATTCCTAAACCAGACTCTCAGGTTGAATCAAGATAATTTTAGAGTGTGAGACCTCTGAAATGGAAGATGTCTGGATAATCTGAGAGGTAGGGGAAGGACAATGTATGTGAAGAATGGAAAGCTAATACAGCAAGAGAAAAGTTCTGGGAGGTCACCTAAAACCAGCACTACCTTGTAAGTCACTTTACAGTAAAACCAGTCTCTGCCTGCATATCTTAAGAAAATAAAGTGAGAGTCCATGATTCATCCCACCTTTACCAGCCTTCTGCATGAAAAAAGGAAGTGAGGTGTAGACAGGCCATACCACTACCAGAACTCTGGCACCATGACAGAACTTGGGAAATGCAACTTCCCTGCTTCCCAGTGTCATTCAAGTCCTTTCTCCATGTGGCAACCACATCAGTGGTTTCCTTTTGGCACTTAGAATAAAGCCCTGCGAAATCTGTCCCCACCCTCCTCCATGCTCTGAGCACACTGGTCTTGGCTCAAACACCCCCAGGACCTTTACAGACCTCTCTTGCTCTTACATCTGCACCTGGGTGGCTCCTACTCTGCAAGTTTCCAGCTTTATACATCAGTTCCTGAGATCACTGGTCACCCTATTTCTGTCACCGGTTTCTGAGTTAACTTTCTTGGACCACCCTATTTCTGTAAAGTCACCTGTTGATTTTCTTTTATTTTTTTTTCAATATATGAAATTTATTGTCAAATTGACCTGTTGATTTTCTAACTGAGCCCTTGGTTTCTTCATAATGCTTCCCTAATGATTTTGCTAACTTTTATGTGTTCTATGTCTACGCCAGGAGTCTGAACATTTTTCTCAGAAGGGCCTAATTGTAGACTACATCTGGTTGCTGTTGCATGTTGTGCCCCCCCCCCCACCCCTTAACCCTTAAAAACTGTAAAAGCAATTTATTAGCTCCTAGGCCATACAGAAACAGGTAGGCTGGATTTAGCCCATAGGCTGTAGTTTACTGACTACCCAGCCAGTGCCTGTCTAATGTGCTTATTAGGTATTTGTTGAATTCAAAGAGATGTCACAGAGACCAGCTTTGAATCAGTGCCACACTGATCCGTAGATGCATGTGAGCTGTTGTATGCAGAAAAGTGAGAACTATTTCAATGTGCAGAAGTTTCCTGCGATTCCTTAGTGATGGTGATCAGGGAGTCTAGGGTAGTTGGAAGAGCGAAAGTACAATAAAATTCTTTGTGCTGAATCCAACTTTAAATTTTAAGACAGAAAGTTCTGAAAAATAACTGCCTGTTTATCCTCACAATAACCCTGACAGGGTATTTACGTTGCATAGAAATTGAAGTTTACAAGTTACACGGTTTGCTCAAAGTCACACAAGTGGTATGCAGAGACAAGGAGACACAAATGCAGGTCAATCTGAATGCAAAGCCTAAACTAATCTTGAATATAAATTTTTAAAATACTATTGACTTGAAACAATTGTTTGCACAACCTATTGGCTCTTCCAGATCTACCTAATCAAAAATGAGGAAGATGTTATTGGATGTAGTAACTAATCATCCAGTCCTCCATTCAGGACTGAGGCATTCACTCCCCCAGCTGCTGGGAGTGTTGGCTGATATACGGCTAAAAAACTGAGCCCTCCCCCAGGAACTACCCTCAGCTGAAGACAGCCCCCTCCTTAGGGCACCCTTCAACAAGTGACTTGTTACATGGTGAGTGTCTATGTGTAAAGGCCAAGTGGGAGAGATCCAATAGGCCCTCTCAGCTCTAGAGCTCCCTGTGGAATCAGCTGATGCTTTATTCAGAGAATACTACACCAACATTGGGCTTTCTCTCTCATCCCAATAAGTGTTGATCCTTATGCTTTCCAATAAAGTTCCTCCATGTAAACCTCCATCTCAGAATCTCTTCCCAGGAAATCTAACATAAATTAGTACAGGCGTTTCTGACCCTGCTTAAGTCAATGACAAAAATGAATCTGGAGAAACAAAGGGCAGTGTATAACCTGTACCACTGGAGTCAGTTTTCTTAGATTGTCCATAAACTCCCTGGATTTACATATAAAACTGTGCTTACATGCCTTTTTATGGGAGACAGTAGTTAGAATTGCGTTCCAAAGGGATGGAGGATCTAATAAACACCACATCACTACAAACGGGTGGACAATGACCCATTATAAACATCAACTTTGTTCTTAGAGTGATGGTTTAAGTAGACCTAAATCCACCCAATGATCTCACACAGCCTTTTTTTCTCTGATTTACCATAAGAGATGGTGTCAAACACCTTGCTGCAATATGTTTGTTAGAGTGCTCCCCTGATAGATCTAATCCAGCTGAGTAAATTCATTTTATTAAGGCAGACAGATAACTTTACTCTGTCCTTGAATTCCCTTTTAACCACATTATTTAAAACATTTCCAGAACAAAAGTAATTTTCTTTGATGGAGAAGACAAATGAAATAGGACTTGAGTAATTCTGTCTGCCATCAATAATAGAACATGTGCCTGCTCCAAGTCTACCACTTTCTCGCTTCTCTGGCTCAAAAAATATCAAAGAATTTTTTTTTTTTTTAATTAGTGAAGCTATTGTTTCTTTGCTCTGGTTTCAAATAATCTTACCATTTATTTTCGTTATCCTTGGCTTTGCTCCAAGGATCAGACTGTTTGAGACCTTGCACTAGCTCTAGCTCTCACTTCTAACTTAACTCTTCCCATGTTGTGCCTTGTCTTGATCATGTAACCCTCCTTCCACGTTTTGTATAATTTCTTTTTAAATTATAGTATCTCAGAATGAGGTTAGAGATTCAGAGATTCAGAGATTCAGAAAAGTGCTTCTCAAAAATTTTCATCAATACCAATACCTTAAAACTTTATTATTACCAACCTGATGAACTGTGGAGCCACCAGAACCCTGAGCATCTGAAGAACGTGTCACAGGAAGTGGAGGTACAAGATCTGTTTTTGAACTGCAGAGGATTTGTTTTAGAATTAACAATTGAGATAGTACCTAGAATCACAACTTGAGGTGGAAGAGAACTACAGAATAGAATACATGTTTGATGTACCTTTATACTCCTTAAGAGTACCTACCACAATACTTTACACGGAGAGATGTTTAATAAATGTTTTTGCATTAAGTTGGGCAGGCTTTGCATTAAGTTGAGCAAGGTTTTGACTTGCTCAAAATCATAGAAGAACCAAGAGCAAAACATAAGTGTGGTTCCCATGTGCTCTAGTTACTGTGACATGTATAAATGGCCTTTCGATTTGTTTCCAAAGAAGCATTTGTGGCCATTCATTCTTTTTCTATAAACCTATGTAGCTGTAAATAGCCATGCTCTACATTTTACAAACAAAAAATAAACAAAACCTGGCCTATAACTCTCTCGGCTGGGCTAGCTTATGTCCCAACTTATTAATGTTTATCAAAATTTTGAGCCTTAATTCAGAGTTAAATGATTAACATTCCTACCCAGCAATACCAAGTACATGATACATAATTATTTCATTAACATATTCATTTAAAATATAGCACCTCTTGCGACTGTATTGTGAAATACAGTCACTTTCCTCAAAAGAAAAACTGAATAACACAAATAACTACAACATACGATATTTGCTATAGTAAAAGAAAATGTCATCAGATCAAAAAGAAACATACACCGTTTCTCAAATAAGGATGCATTATTCACAATAGAATAGTTAATGCATTTTTTTTCTTCTAAAAGTTTCAGTGCATAGCTTGGAGGTAACATGATTCAGGCTAAGTATGGTCTAGATCTGTGCTGTCCAATATGGTAGCCACTAGCCATACAGGGCTACTTAAATTTAATTAAGAATATTAAATTTTCAGTTTCTTGGTCACACTAGCCATCTTTCAGATACTTAACAGTTATAGATACAGAACATTTCCATCATTGCAGAAAGTCCTACTGTACTGTGCTGTTCCAGAACTGGAGTTCTGCAAGTGATAATGTACTCAAGCTTGCCCACTTACTTCACCTCCGAGAGAACAGATCGCTCTCCATCTGAACACTGAGACCTGCGATACTGGCGGTAACTTCGCGGTGAATGGGAATGCCTGATGCGGATTGGGTCACCTTGAGTCCTGAATAAGCAACCAAAAACATGGAAATAAACCAGAAGTCAGAAGAGGATAATTTGGAATTTTTCCTTAATATGGAAACCACAAAGGAATGACTTCAAGAATTTAAAAAGAACATGATCCCTCTGAGCTTAGAAAGCCTAAGTGGCTTCACTTTCACGAGCTAACAGAAAACTGCCCTCTTGACCATTTACATGACCATTTCATTTACATGAAAATGAAGCTGTATTATTTGTATGCACATGAGTGTGTAGTTTTTTAATGAAAAATTCTAATGAAACTATTCCCTACAGTTGAATTTTTTCCAGTAGTGTGAAAGAAAAAAAATCTGTAACGCAGACAAATGGCATTCCTATGAGGAAAGGTTGGTCCTTATCCTAGCTAATTAGCCTGTCATTAAGAATTCAATCTTTGGCCAAAGATGAGGGGGTGGTAGGAAGGGGAGTTGGGGAGAGTGTGTACAAACCTGCAGTTTGACCAGAGTGGGAAGAAAGCATGGGTTACAGACGGAAATAAAGCAAGGAAATAACCCCCCACCCCCACACACCCTTTCTCTTTACCAATTACAGCAGGGCAGAAAACAGAGTAAATAGATCATCTTCTGCTGCATCCTACACTGAATGGTGATTAGGGAATCCTGTTACGCTTCCATGGAGCACATTCAATGTGCTAGTTCCATGGGCTAATGTGGCAGGATTCAGGGCCAATACAACTATCTTGTAGTGAATAAAAAGAAACATTATTACCAATCAATGAATCCCTTAAAAAAAGAACTTAGGTTTTAGAACACATTAATTATCAAAAGCTCCCGTGTACCCACTTCATACAAACTGGCAGTTAATATATGATTGTGATTGTAGTGCAAAATAACAATTAGCTTTAATACACCCTTTTCTACCTCTTTCTCTACAGTTTTTTTTTTTTTTTAATGTTTATTTTTGAGAGGGAGAGACACAGAATGCAAGCAAGCCAGGGGGCAGAGAGAGGGAGACACACAATCTGAAGCAGGCTCCAGGCTCTGAGCTGTCAGCACAGAGCTCACAAACCGTGAGATCATGACCTGAGCCGAAGTCAGATGCTTAATGGACTGAGCCACTCAGGCACCCCCTTTCCTACAGTTTTAATTTTAGTTAAAATGTAAAGACAAAGCCCTTCAGAGAATACCACCGGAAACTAAGAATGGACTATTCACTTATAAGTACTAATAAAACTTCTGTGACAAGATTTTCAAAGACATACTCACTCTATTTTAGTGTATGGAATCTCTTTTAATTGTTCTTCAGACAAACCAGAAGGATCCACAAGTTCCTTTCTAGAAGGGAATGAGCAAGAAAATTAAATTTATGAAGCTGATAGAAATACAACTGGCAGGTGAGTTTTTCCTTCCTAACCTTATCCCCAAACACAGTATTAGTAAAACTAAGAGAAATATAAGCCAGGAGCAAAGATTAAAAACTTAGTATGTATTCAAGGAAAAATGGGGGGAAAAACCTTTTCTGTGGCTCTTCTACCTTTTTTCCAGTTTTTCTATAACTGGAATGTAGACGACTCTTCCATCCATCATTTCTTTACAAAAGATCTGCTTCTCTTCCCTGTAGTATCTTTTTTCCTTCTGAATCTGTTTTCCCTGGTATTTATTTGTAAAACATTGTCCTGAGGCCATTTACAGGTGAGGCTAACTGGCCTTAAGAGAGGAGATGTCAGGGCTACCTGTAGAGGGGCTGCTGGCACGGGAAGGCACCACCGCTGTGAGTCCCATGTTCCACATAATGATGGCAATGAAGAAAGACTATGTGACAGGCTTCAGCCAGAGGCTGCCTCTCGGTGTCAGTGGTCTCCCTCGTAAACGCCTTAACACTACATGGGTTTTGAAACAAGAAGAGGAAGAAAAAAATCAGTACTTACTGAATATGCTTCCATAACTCTTCTTTTGCTTGGATATCAGGGCTCCTCCTATAAATAGAAAAAACACCACTCATCTCTGCAAACATGCTTCATCGAAAAATCTAACAGCTAACTTTAGCCGAGCTACATTAATAGTTTTCAGACTGTGAAGTTCTTTTTTGCCAGCTGGGACCAGACAACGAAAGACTGGGCAGGGAGAGCCAATGTGGGATAGCATAAAGATACAAGATAATTTATCTGCTAGTACTACTGAAAAAAATCACATAAAACCCAGCCACAGCCAAGGCTTTATCTGATGAAAGAGCCTAGAACTTGAAGAGCAAATCCACACACCCTCCACTGGTGATTTTACAGTGAAGATGATTCAGGGCTTCTGTTTCTGGTCCTTCTGGCTATTTCTAAGTAAAGGCAAAGAACTCATCCTGATTCTATTAATAGGAAAGATTCCCAACATGATCTGTGATTACCTAGTAGAAGCAGCAACCACAGGGAAAAGGGAATGGTGGGACAGCCCAGGCTGGCACACTGTGCCAGTGACCTACCTACCTTTCATACTACATCTCATGTTGTGTTTCTGGGCCGGAGCATGGGCCCAGAAATGCTGTGATCTATGTGTGGCTTATACTGTCACCTCTGTATGTCCTTCTCCATCCAAATCTACATACCCCACAAATCTCCAAAAATCCCCGAGTAGAAATTATACCACTACTTTTAATTTCCTAGAATGAGAAATTTCAAGTCTTTATCCATGTGTTCACCCTCCCCACAATAGCAATGAATACTAGAAATCTATTATCACTGCAAGTGTTGCCACAGAATGATTTTTTTTCCTAGTGAGAAAATGATAAGCTTTCGTTAGTCCTTTCAATAGAACCAAGGCCTAATAAAGGCCCAAAGAAAGGACGCAAAACCTAACAATTAAAAGGCCTGGTGCTACGCAAAGCCACAGCAATACTCTGTCCTGTGGAATTTTACGTTCATAATCTGTATCAGCATTTTTGGGCTCAATATCACTTTCAACATATGATATTATCATTGTTTTCATTTTTCTCAGTAATAAGGCACCACTGAGGCATTCTGGTAGGACTTTCTGAGACCACAGAATACAATAAGCTACTTTCTAGCAATTAAATTGACTAAGTGGCTTTTTCCTTTATGGAAAAAAATCTGTAAAGGCCTTTTAAGCAATTCAAAAGGAGTCAAAACATGGAAGATAAGGGGAGGGGATGAAGCCTTGGTCTCAAATGTAAAAATGTGATATTGTTAAATGTTGATTTTGTTATATAATAAAATTATATGCTTAAAAAAATTTTTTTTAAAGTTTATTTTGAGAGACAGAGCATGAGAGACAGAGAGAGGGGGAGGGGCAGGGAGAGAGGAAGGAGATAATCCAAAGCAGGCTCTACACTGTCAGCACAGAGCCTGATGCAGGGCTCGATCCCATGAACCATGAGATTGTGACCTGAGCCAAAATCAAGAGTCACTGAGCCACCCAGATGCCCCTATACACTTTTTTTTTTACATCTTAAGAAATGCTTCTTTGGAAGGATTTTCTGTAAGGAATCTGCCTTTCCTATGTTTGGCTGGTGTGATTCACTAGACAATATTTTAAATGATACTTCCGGAGAAGGTGCTAATACTAAAAAGCAGTAAGCTATTTATACTATTCCCAGAGAAAAGATGGTTCTGCTTTACCTATACATCAGCATCTAATTGTCAGAGAGGGTCACCCAATAGTCTTAAGTATTACAGAATATCTAGGTTAGGAAGCCATTCTATTGAAAATCATTCTTATCTCTGAAGGTGCAATAGTAAGGCTATCTTTGAGTTGAAGAGGGTTTCTCAACCTCAACACTATTGACATTCTGGGTCAAATAATTCTTTGCTGTAGAGGGCTGTCCTATGCGTTGTAGGATGATTAGTAGCCCTATGGTCTCTGCCCATGATGTCAGTAATACCTCCCCACTGTGACAAGCAAAAATGTCTCCAGGCATTGCCAAATGTCCCATGGGGCGCAAAACTGCCCGAAACTGGAAATAACTGGTCAAAGGTTTGACCTGAAAGTAAAGTAGTTATGGTTGGGTGGAGGAACTGTGAGGCCAGGTCACTGTAGAGATCCATTATGTGATTACTGACACAGTGTCGGAGAGAATAATAGCAAAGCAGGAACTAAATCTTCAAATAATGAGGTAAGGGACGCATACACAAGGAGTGGTATAATTTGATGGCCTGAGATTCAAAACCGAGTGCTTTGAGGAAAGAGGAAGGGAGAATAAGAAAAAGCAATGAGGGGCAAGTAGGATGTGCCTGTCCCCCATGGCCACCATATCAGGCTAGTGAGAGAGAGATGATGAATATAAGCAACACACAAAACACTTGATAACTGGATATTTCTGAGTGCTGGAATTGCAGGTAATGTTATTATTCATACTTACCTATCTTTTCTGATTTATTTTTTGTCAAGAGAATTTTTTTTTAAGTTTATTTATTTTTGAGAGAGAGAGAGCACAAGCAGGAGAGGGGCAGAGTGAGAGGGAGACGGAATCCCAAGCTGGCTCCACACTGTCATGGTCAAGAGAATTTCTAACTTTAGGTATCAAAAAAGAAAAACATAAAAATATTTCCATGGTTTAAAAAATTACTATTGTTGCAATTCCACAGGCAATACCTTTCATTCCCATCTTGTAAGAATTAGCAGAAATGTTACCTTAACCCAAATGGGAACATTAGTCCTTGGAGCCATAAATACTGGTCCTAAAAGATTCAGGAATTTAGTCTAGATGTTTAAGTTCTATAGCATCTATAATAAGCATCTACGATTGTCATGTTTAAGTTACTGAGTTCTGAAATGCCCAACAGTTTCAAGCAGCTTTATGTCAGGGAGAAGTTCCAAAGCTAAAAACAAAAAAAACAAAAACAAAAACAAACCAATTTCCTCCAATTGCTAGACCACCTGTGATTTAACAAATGTAAATACAGGCAACATGCTAATGAGGAATGTATTATTCTTATGCTTACATCTGCACACATTTAATCAATAATTTAGGATGATTTCATGATCTGCAGCTCAACATCATTTTGTGAATTTAGAAAGCTGTGGGATTTTGACAGCCATTTTTCTTAATTAAAGGACTCTTAATTATGCAGATGTTTTATTTGAACTCTCCAAATAAGTTCCTAAGGAAATAGAGCATATATATATAATACACATGAAGTTCAATATTAGTCCCATATTTTTCAAAAACAAAACATCCCTCATCTACACCTGATACCAACAGCCCAATATAAATATTCATTTTTCAGAGAAATTAGCTTTGATGAGACATCATTTAGAATCATCATCTCCTTTCTTCCAAAACTCTAAGAACAACACTTGTTAAATCTACAGTGTTTAAACCCCATCACTGCATATAGTCTTTTACATCTCCCTAACGTTACGATTATATTAACTAGAAAACACTATATGTTATACTATGGGATACAATACACTATATTTTTATGTACTATAATAAACTAAAAAATAAATGAGGTAGCATTTGACTTCATGCTTTTGTGACCTTACCACTAAACGCTGTTCTAAAAGGAAATTTAGACTTGAAAATGTTACTAAGAAAACTGTAAGTTTATAAAACATCTTTATTTTAAAAATTCAAAGCCCTTAACAAATATCTCATTAATTCCTCATCATATTCCTGAGTGGTCAGAATAGACACGATTAAGAGAAAGCTTAATCTTCCACTCCTTCCCTCCCTCTGTCAGAATTAAAGGATTAGGAAGCCACAGGGCTCAGCAACCTGGCTACTGAAGATCATTCAAGGAGTCACTTCCAGAACCTACATGCTAAATCTCTGAGGAATCAGACTTCTGTTTTGTCTTTAATGGGAACATCACTTCACCCTGACAATCCCATCTTCACATCAATTATTTTTGAATAAAAATAGTGAGACCTTACCACCACCAGAGGGAGCATGAGCCTTCTCACACACACAAGTTGAACCTATGAGAACTATTGTTTCAGCTTCATTGCCTCTTCCGAATATACCAATGAGTAAAGTTTTACTAATATAGAAAAGCATTTTCACCAAAAAGTTTCTAATGATAAGTAAACAAGAATGTCATGGCAATGCAGCTTCAAAATGTACTAGAAAGAACTGTACTCAACATTTTCCTAGATGCGATCCAATGATATTATAGCTTAATGTGTTTTAGGAGAGAGGGGGTTTGTATTTTATACTATTGTATGTCTCTGGCATTTATAATACATAAAATTTTCTAGCTTTTTGTTGTAAATTTGAAAAATAAAATGAATGAATCATGTGAATGATGTATCATAGCATTCTAAACCCTCAGTGAATATATGTCCATATAGCAATTTATTGACACGGTAGTAGGAATTAAGAATATAGGAGTAATTGACAGTTAAGTGGTTTACTGTATATCTGAAATGTTAATTATATGTGAAGAACAATTTTAATTACTTTCTCAGATCCTGCTCTAGTCATGTTACCATTTTTTAAAAAAGCAGTAGCGATTCTTGGGGTGCCTGAGTGGCTCAGTCAGTTGAGCATCTGATTCTTGGTTTTGGCTCAGGTCATTATCCCAGGGTCGTGGGATCAAGCCCAGCGTTGGGCTGGGCTCTGCACTGAGCATGGAGCATGCCTAGGATTCTCTCTCTCTCCCTCTCCCCTTCTCCCTGTCTCTCTCTCTCTCTAAAATTTAAAAAAAAAAAAATTTTTTTTTAATTAAAAAAAAATTAAGAAAAAAGCAGTAGTGGTTCCTAAATTTGCACAGAACCGAATTAAAATCTTCATTTGAGTTGGCCCCACCCCGCTCTCTTCACATCTCACCTCCTCTTTATCTCAAGGGAAAAAAATCAGTACCTTACAGCATTTCTAGAGATTGCCCAAGACCTAGAAAACTTATTATAATAACTGTAATCCCAAGTATGATATCACAGGTACTTGTCATATAGGACTTGAATTTTCAGCAATATGAAAATGGTATTATCTGTTTGTAGAGATGACACTGGGAGTTCATGGAGATTAGGC